AAAAAAAAAAAAAAAAAAGAAGGGACATGGCCAAAAGGCATCTCATTACTGTCCCAGCTCAAAGAAAGAGTAACCAAATACCTCCACCAGATCTTTTTGTTGTGTGTTACTTCGAAAGGTCGTGTACAGCACCAGTCCCAGCATCACTGACACCAGAGCCACGCAGAGCAGGACAAAGACAGCCGGGTGGATCCCTAGGAAAGAGCACAAGGGGACATTCCTGGAGTGATACAACGCACTGAGAAGAGGCAACAGGGAGAAGGAATTTATGCTTTGGGAGAAGTTTTCGTATTTTTAAAACAAAAGATGTGTGTGTAACAGAAAAAAAAATATTTCAGCCACTTTAGGTGTTTCTGAAATCTCAGAAGTGAGAATGCAGGGCTGTGAGGGTCTCTCCCACCCCTCTTTTCCCTTGAACAGCCTAAAAACCTCACCCAGTGACACAGATTAACTCCCCAGGGTGCTGGCACCGCTGTGCACCCCAAGAGCACAGGAAGGAACCTCACCTTCCCAGCGGCCTCCAGCAATGAGGACTTGCACGCTTGGCCTTGGACGCCCACTGGTGCCTTCTGGGGTGAGCTGCCCCCTCCGTGCCCAAGCGCTGTCCCCCAGCGAGGGGGTTCACCCACCCCTGTGCCAGCCTGGCCGTCCTGGTCAGGTCCTTTCACCGGCCACCTCACCCCTTCCCAGGGGCCCCAGGAGGGGCACGTGTGAGCGTGCCTGGGGGAGCAGGGGCTGCTGGCGGGGGGACAGAAACCTGACATGAAATGCAGGCCTAGGAAAACCTAACTTTAAAAAAAACATAGCTAAACTAGAATTGAGACTGCTTAACTGAAGGAGCGCTACAGATGTGTACGTTTTCCCAGTTATCCTCTTAAACTGCAAAAGCCAGACTATTTAAGGGGAAAAATACGTAATCTCAGTAACTCAGCCTTCCCAGGAAACTCATCAGCTTCAAGACGCTCTCGAGAGCACGGGTTCAGCAGGATGCGGGCAGCTCAGAGCAATTCCAGAGGCACGCTGTGGGCTCACCTCATCCCTCCTGCTTCCTATGCTTGTGGGGATCTACAGAGCTCCCAGAAAGCCCATCCGCAGGCTCCCGACTGTCCCTGCCACCCCTGAGCAGGGACACCCCCTCACCTGGAGGCCACACCTGGATGTGCCGGTAGGTCTGGAGGGTGGTGGCACCGCTCTGCACCCGCAGGCTGAGGCAGTACCGTCCCGCCGCGCTGAAGCTGTGCTGCAGGGTGTAGCAGGAGCCGTTGAGGGGCACCAGGCGGCATTCCTCACCCTCCAGCGGGACGCAGCGGGACCTGATGAGCCAGCAGACAGCCAGCGGCGGGCTGCGGCCACGGCGGCGCCCAGGGAGAGAACACAGGGTGAAAACCTCGCAAAACTTTCAGCTAAGAGTTGATGAATCACTCAGTTAAAGTAGCACAGTAATCCGGGAAATAATGAAGTTACTCTAAATACAAATTGGGAACTAATTAACTGCTCAATTGTTTAGTTTATAGTATTTGTCAGTTCAGGACGTTCCTTGTGATGCTTCTCTAACAGCAAGGCTTTCAGCCGCCAGCGATACCTGCGTGGGGCGTGGGAAGGCCACCCTGCCCAGAGAACCCCTCACTCCTTCTCCAATAAAGAAAAAAGGAATCTTTTTTCCTGCACTTCGAGGGAGTAAAGGTTGTTTTTTCTTTGTTCTTCTCACACAGAAGAGATCACTGTCTGTGCTCCTGAAGCACATCCAAGGCTTTGCGGATTCAAAAACCCCAACAACCCAAAGTGGACAGAATGTAAGATGAGCTCTGTCCAACGGGCCCCTAGCTGGGGAAGGTAAATCAGTTGCAAGGCTCCCAGTACTCCCTTACAATCACAAAAGGGGTTTATTTGCTATCAGGTGATCTAGGTCCTGTCCACTTTATGGCCATGTGTCTTCTCCCCATGTCTAGTTGATGACTTTTATTTGCACTTTCAGAGCCTTGTTCCAGCTTATTCTGCTTGGATTCACCTTACCTGCTATGGACTTTGATTCTGAAAACAGAGCTTTTCTTTACCCTGGCTTACTAGTATTTTGTCCCTTATCTCTTTAAGACACTCCCTGCTAAAGAAAGCAGCATGTTTATGTGTTTAGCTCATTTTCTAGCTTTGTTTTTGATAACCCGTCTCTCAGGCCTTTGTCATTGCTTTTGAACCATAATGATCCTGCATCAGGCCGGGTCCTGTGGCCAGGAGGTCAGTCTGGCAAACCCTGTCCATCCTACAGCCCAGCCTGCTTTTGGGGATCTCAGGTTTGGCTGTTTGTATTTATTCGCGTGCCATCTCCAGCTCCCCTCCTGCCAATGTGCCACCCACTCCCTGAATTGCTACTTACGTGCCGTTGATATGAAGAGATAAACTCAAGTTTTCCATTACATGGGTCTCTCTGGAGCCCACTACGTTAACACTTTTAACAGCATCTGAGGGGAAGAAAATAAGTGTGTCATGCTCCACCTATAATCTTGAAATGAACTGGTTTTCCAGTGAAGCTTTGTTTTCATAGAGTTTGTAGATTTTAGTTCCATCACTCACACGAATAATAACACGGCCTTGCACGCAAACAGGAATCCTACTGGTAGAGTTGTCGTAAGCTTCTGAATGTTTTGTGATTTCTTTTTAGCATATAATCAACTATTTTATTAATCCTTTACATATTTACTTATGTGTTTATTTAGTCTGGAAGCTGATCAAATCAATAAGACTTTCCTAATGCTTATTTTTTAGGGATTGCCAGCATAAATTAAACAAACAAATCCTTCAAAACTCACGGTAAACATTTTATTTTAAGTTTTAATTGTATGTGAGAGTTTTACAAAGAACAGTGAAACTTTTGATAAATGAAAAAGAAACAGAAGATTTTATCTATTTCCCCTGATTTTTCTGCACTAGAACTCTTCATAATGCTGAAGTTGTATTATCATGTTATCACATTAAAGTGAGGTTGCATCTGTACGTATATAGCAAGTTCTGGTTTGAGGATGCAAAATGTTTCATACTTACCCAGCAGCCCCAGGGCAGTGGTAAAATCACCAGTTTTCTGCACTGTTTCTCTTTCGTGTATGATGCTTCCAGTTTGCTCCCATTCAGCTACGACTTTGAGGTGCACTGTGCGGTTCCCCATGGCAGAGTAGTTGTAGTAGACAAAGGGTTCCTTGGTAATCTGATAAACCCTGTGTGTAATAGGAAAAGATTTAGAATCCAAATTGCCTTTTACCAAATCCTTGCATATTTCTGATTTTAAAAGGAGCAAGCTCAAATACATTGTCTTTATAGACAACGCTACAGCTGGCTGTGATTCTAACTCTGCTTAATGCCCGTATCAACAAGGATTAATATCTGTGGCATTACCAATACAACTACCATCAGTAAAAGACCCAGAGTATATTGATGCATTTTTAATCAAAGAAATGAAAGATAATGCTAAAATAATTAACAGAATTTATAGCAGGTGTGGGCTATAACCTAACTCAAGCAGTAAGGGGAGGGAAGGGAGGAAAAAGAAAAGAAAGAAAGAAGAAACTCAGTATTCAAAGACTAAAGCTTACATTTCTATTTGCACACACTTATTCGCGTTGGACATAAATTTGTCCTCACTGAAGAAAAATAACTGACTCTCTTTTTTCTTCCCTACTGCAGAGTGGCTTAAGGTTTTATTTCTGACTGTTATGAGCTTTGTTGGGGTTTCCTCCCCTCCCCGTTTTGTTACTAGGTAAGCATTAGCTGTGTGTTCATGTGGATCTCCCCGTTATTTGAGACACCTACCCATTTTCAGAAGTTCCTCACTGAAGTGGTGTTGGATTTTTGGGTAACTGGTGACAGTGACAGGTACTCACTGCCCAGCCACAAGACAGTGTGCTGCTTTCATTGTCCCTCAGCACACAAATTATTCACATATTCAACAACAACCTGCTCATAGAGATCTGCAGGTGCAATGATGTTTTAAAGTAACAATTTACAATAAGCTGCTTCTTCCAGTTTGTTCAGTTCAGCTCAGCTCATTGCACACACAGTAATACAGCATATAGGTATACACTTAGGGGTATTGTAAGAAATGTAGGCCTCTAAAACATCACCTTTTTGTGAGTGTGCAGTGACTTCTATGCCAAAGTTCTTATAATTCACCTGGTTTGACATGCTCAGACTGTACCAACTGACAAGGTGTCCTGTGATTTACTCAGCATTTTTCTCTAGATGAGCATCTGAATCGTAGCCATCCTGAATACTCATTGAAGCAAACAACACAACCACACCTACCCGTCTCCAAAATCCCAGCTGTAGACAAACGATGCTGATTTGAAGTAATGGCTTGGGTCATGAAGACAGAAAGAAATCCGGGTCACAGTGCCGGTGGAGGAACTAGAATCCTGTGTGATCAATCTGCTGTCTTCTATCTGGGCAATGGTAAGATTCCCTGTGATAAATTCTGCAGAATAATAGGGTAGGGAAAGAATGACACCACTCGTCACTTTCATGGCATGCTCTGTGTGAGTATCAAAACATTATGTAAAAGGTACTGCACAAGTCTTGCTGTGTCTTAGCGGTTAAGTGTATTTTATATCTATTACTCTGTGTTGTTGCACGTGTTAGTGAGCAGAGAGACTGAAATACTTATTTAGGGTTAGACAATGGGAGGGATGTGGTTACGAGTCTCTGAAAGAAGGGAGTGTGGGAAGCTGTCAGATGACATGTCATGTCAGTCCCTCTGTTGGAGATTTGGTTAACCACACCACATCATTGGTCAATTTGTCAAAAAATACATGTTTATGGTTATGAATATTCCCAGTAAGCTGAAATTGCTCTTAGCAATGTTTGGAAATGCAGCTGTGACTTCACGTCCAATTTCAGGACGCTCAGTCAGAGCTTTAAAAGGAAGCGTGATGGCTCTGTTGTGCTGGTGGCCCAGGACTGTGCTCTGTCACACGACAGGGAAAACCAGTGGATTGTCACTGCTCCTGCTCATCCCAAACTTCGACTGGAAGTGCTGGGGATGGGGACGGGAAGCGTTGTTGTTGTTTTAGGTGTCTGGAGGACACTGAGCAGCGCTGAGGTGCGAGCTGCAGCTGCTGAGGTCCCTGTTTGTGGCAGTTTCCCCAGGCTCAGGGACAGGCGGCAGCTCGCACTCCCTCTGCACGGAGACAGGTACCCTACGGCCCTCACGCCTGTCCCAGCCCACCCTCAGGGTACACAAACCAAGCTCTGCTGGCACAAGTCATATTTACACCTGGCTTTCATTCTTCTGATGCCAGCAAAGGCATTCTGATGTAAATTAACACAAATGAGCTGTAAAGCCATTCTACCTGTGATCTGAAGCACGGTGACATTTCTAGCAACCGGCCGACACAACCAGCAGTTTCTGTGAGTCACCCAGACAGATACAGGAAAAGTCCCAGGAAATTCACCGGTCACATGGATCACGGAGCTAAACTGCTGCTCGGATTTCTCCATCAGAATCAGAGGAGCATAAATCCAGTTAAAGTGATACCAGTTCGACGTGATGCTGTCATTCTTCATTCTTAGACTGGCGTGAACTGTGGCTTGAGCTCCCGTTGTAATGGGGCCATTGTTGCTTATTTCCAGACCATGCTCCTCTGTGGAAAGAAGAAAAACCAACCAAAACGTGTTGTATTGCATTTTTTAAAAATTTATTTACTCATTTTAAGTAGTTAGCTGTAGTTATGTGACTCACAAGGACATTCATCCCAACCAAAGCTTTACCACTTTTTTTTTTCCCATTGAAAAACCTGGAACAGAACCTGTTGCATGTACAGAGGAGTTCAAACAAGCAGCATTAAACATATTAAACCGGGTCCTAGAAACATTAACAGTAGAAGGGAGCTTCAGACCAGAACATCACAGAAACTTTGAGGAGATTTTACAGGCAGAGCTGGGCACCGGCTGTAGGTTCAGTGTCACTAATGATCTAACATGGTCCCTAAACTCCAGCTACTGGAAGAAAGTCAAGCTCAGCTCTAATCTCTTTCCTAAAAAAATGAACTTTCAAACTCGGGTAAGATTTCATCCAACAGATTCCTTTGTCAGCTCTCTTGACCCACAAGTCTCTCTCTCCTTTCTCCTGGCTGAAGAAAGGCCCTCAGTACCAGCTGCTTCTACTCTATGGTCCACTGCTGACATCCCTCTCCAGGAAAGAACCAAAAGTCCCAATGTAAATGAGACTTTTACCATGCCTTAGTGGCAGATCAGCTGCCATCCAGAGGGACCTGGACAGGCTGGAGAGGTGGGCCCTGGTGAACCTCATGAGGTTCAACAAAGTCAAGTGCAGGGTCCTGCCCCTGGGTCAGCAGAGGCTGGGATGGAGGGATGGAGAGCAGCCCTGCTGAGAAGGGCTTTATTCCATGGAATAAACTCCCAGAAGTTTTATTGCAGGTACTGAGCAGATCTGGATGCAAATGGACTGTGAGAAATAATTGTAACACCAATATCTGCGAAGGAACTCCATTGTTTCCATTTCACAAGACAAGGAACAGCCCTCAGCTCAGATTTTTGAGTTAACAGAGAAATGCTTGTGATTTGAGGAAATCTGGCACAGAGAAGTTTCCAGTCTCTAGAAGATTCAGGCTTTGTTTTAGCAGAACTTGGGAAAAAAACAGCCAACTACCTCTTGCTTATCTCGCACTTCTCCTTGGAGGTTATCAGGCGCTGCACAAACCAGGGCCATCCTGAGGCCCAGCAGCCGCCGCAGCTGGAGATCAGTGGCTCACCCAAGGTCACCCAGCGAGCCACCGGTGGGGACAGACATCTCAGCCAGTCCAGGGGTCTCTGCCACCTCTCCCTTCTCTCCGCAGTGCGGGGAGGCCACCCCAGCAAGAGGAACGGTTGCCCAGGCAGGGTATGGGCCCTGCTCTGGGGGAGCGCACCCGCAGTTTTTGGGGTCAGAACCGCAAAGCCCGGGACGCCCCGGCTTCGCCGCGGGCACCAGCTCCCAGCGCCTGGCAGTGACCCCCGGGGTGGCGACCGGGTGTCCTCCGCCGCATCCCCAGTAGTGGCTAGCGACACCGGGCAGAGGGCCATCCCCCCCGCTCCCCCCCACGGCAAGCCCGGCCGTGTCCCCTCGCCCCGCCGCCCCCCTCGCCCGGCGGCGGTGACAGCCCCGACCGGCGGCGCCTCCTTACCTGCCGCCGGGCCGGGGGCGCCCAGCAGCACCAGCAGCACCGGCAGCACCGGCAGCGGCATCTCCGGGGTGCGGGCGTTGTGGGCGCGGGGCCGGGCGCTGCCCCCG